CGTAAGATACCTCTGTCCAATTGGCGGCCCGTTTCTGCCCTTAATCCCGCCCAAGCCGAGATCTCATTGGTTATAATGCACTTAGCGTCTCCATTGGTTCATGGATCTGCCATCAAAGTTAGATCGGCCTTGACTAGCTCCTCCCCTGGTGAAGGGGCAAATAACAGTCTGAGGGAAGAGGTATAGAGGCGCTTGAAGGAGAGATTGCCCTTCCCTTTCACAAGTCCGCTGAAGGAAGCAGCACGAATATTATTATTGTGAATTAATCAGCTACACAGACAAATATAAGGGTTGAGAGTTGAAGGAAGCAGGCCCTACTTACTGACCCATTACTTAGTCCCCTAGCCTCAGTCTGCTCACCTAGAAAATGGAGCTCATGATATCTCAGAAGGCTATTGTGATGCGAATGTGGTCTGTGTGTGTTTCTGCGGGCTCAGGAACGTTCGTGTGCAAAACATCAGCAGCCATCTCTGAAGGTCTGTGAGAAGAGGAATCTCAATTGGCTTCCTCATTGGCCTGGGGCCTCCTTGGGTTTTACTTGGAATAAATGGGGTGGGCATGACCAGACACCAAAGAAGCGCCAGGAGAGACAAAAAGACGGGGTGGGAGACTAAGGGACAGCCAAGGGAGGGGACCTTGTTTATCTTATTCATTAAGGTGTCTCCAGCGTCCAGAACAGTGACTAGATCATTGCAAAATTTCAATATGTGCTTGTTAAGTGAACGAGTGAAGAAAGGAAGATAGGATTTCTGAGAAACCGGGAGAGGAGAAACAGGTGAGCGGTTAAGTGGTGGCTGGCTGGGTCTCCTCACCCAGACTTTGCCCCAGAGCTGCCACTCACCCCTGTTGCCCTGGCAACTCTGTCTCCTGGTAACTTCAAAGTGGTGCTGTTGCCAGGAGACACAGGGGCGGGTGGAACTGATATTTCCTGGGCTTTCTCTCTCCCTCTGGGGCCAGAAAACAGATCCACCACATCCCCCAATACATCCACCCACACAGCTGGGCACCTCCACATCCCCCTCCTAACACACACGCGGGCACGCGCACACCCACATGCATCTCTGCATACATTCCACTTCCCAAACCCCCATCACCCACATGCTCCCAGCCCCATCCTAACACAAAACATCCCATATACACTTTCTCTCACATTTGTGTCCCCACACTCTTTCCCTTGCACATGCACTAGAACACACTCTGATACAACCATACCATTGCTATTACGCACAGGCAGACACATTTCCTCAGCTAATGTGACCGCAGTTCTTTCTGTACACACACACACAAACACACACACACACACACCACTGTTAGACTCCTTGTCAAAGGCACCACCTCAACCCCCCCCAATAGATGTACAACCATGACTCACCTCACGTTGCAACACTTCAAATGCACAAGCACCCAGTAGTGACACATAGATCACATCGTCGTGCAGTCACATACGGGGAGTAAGCCCAACACAGCCCCATTGCACTTGCTATCCCCTTGCTGAAGGAACTCAGCTCCCAAATACCCCTGTGGCTTTTCCCCACACCATTCAGGTCGTGGTCAAAGCTCACCTCGTTAGAGAGGTTTTCCCTGATCATCTGTTGCACTCCCTACACCCTAACTGCTTATCCATCTTTCTTTTCAAATAACTTATTTCCATTGTCTTGTTCTGATTGCCTCTCTCCTCACTAGAATGTCGGCTGCACCAAGGAGGTTCTTTCTTTTGTTCATTGCTGGGCCCCCAGCTCCTAGAACAGCACTCAGCACACAGCAGGTGCTCATTAATGTAGACTGAGTACATTGGCAGAGATGCAGGTGTTTGGTATGTTTCTTGTACACACAGTACTTCTTTCTCTTCTCAAAAGCCTGTCTACATGTCTTGATGGAAGGAGCTTTACCACAGAGGGAGGGGAAACCAAAGGGTGAGGGGTTGGGGAGGGGACAGATCAGTCAGTCTGTGTTTCTCCCTCGATTTTCCAGCATCGCACGATTAAATCATTCATTTAACAAAATTTTATTGAGGATCTACTTGTGTGTCAGGCTCTGTTTTAGCCACTGTGGCTTCAGCAGTGAAAAGACAAATAAGTCTCTATCCTCCTAGTGAGGGAGAAGATAATGGCCACTAAGCATAATAGAAGTTTAAATAGTCTATGAGTGGATGATAAGTGTATGCAAAAAACTTTGCTCAGGGGGAAAGAAAGCTGGAAGGAGCAGTTGTTTGTTTCTTGCCATTTTAAATAGGGTGGTAGGGGGCGCCTGGGTGGCTCAGCCGGTAGGGCAGCTGACTTCGGCTCAGGTCATGATCTCGCGGTTTGTGGGTTCGAGCCCCATGTCGGGCTCTGTGCTGACAGCCAGCTCAGAGCCTGGAGCCTGTTTCAGATTCTGTGTCTCCCTCTCTCTCTGACCCTCCCCTGCTCTCTCTCTCTCAGAAATAAAACATTGAAAAATTTTAAAAATAAATAAATAGGGTGGTAGAGGGGCAGGCCTCACTGAGAAGGTGACATTTGAGAAAAGGCATGAAGGAACTGAGAGAAAACCATGTAGAGCATGGAGGGAGAGCATTCCAAGTGGCAGCACCTGCAAGTGCAAAGGTCCTGAGGCACTGGGAGCACTTTGACTTTTACCAGGATGCATGGGGAGCCAGCCATGAGAGGACTTGAGCAGACGTGGGTTGTGGCCTGACTTACATTATAATCCAGAATTCAGTTTTCGTTGAGTTAATTTTGAGATTTTGTGAGACCTATAGGGGCATGTCAAGAAGTCTTTTGAGTAAGTACGTATACCTTAGTGTGGGTTTTCTATCTAAAATTATCCATCCTGGGATGGGGGTGTGGCCAAGGTAAGGTTGGCCGTCGCCACCCTCTGTAGCAGGCTCAAACACTTTGTGTGGGGCACCCCTACTTTACCCTTTCTTAGCCAGCACTTAGTTTCAGAACCACGGACAGCGCTTCCAGGTTTGGCTGGACCGCTGTCCGCTGTGCTGAAGTTTTGCTTCTTTCCTGGCCTGCGCGGAGGAACCAGGGTCTCAGGGGTGGGATCCCTGGAAATAGAAGCTCTGTTTGGTGAAGAAGAGGGGCCCATGACTCTCTCTCTCCTATGCCTTAAGCCCTCTCATGCTCCCATATTATTCCTCATGGCCCACAATCAGCCCCACCACCTACCCCACCTCCTCTCCCTCCATCTGCCCCCTGCCTCGTTCAGCTCAGCTGCATAGGCCTCCTCACTGTTCCCTGAACACAGTGGGCTGGTTCCCACCTCAGGACTTTGGTGCTTGTTGTTCCCTTGCCTTAAACATTCCTCCCGCCCCCACCCCCCGCCTGTTTACATGGCTCTTCCCTCCCTCCTTCATGCTTTTGTTTGTTTGTTTATAAGTGCGCTTCACTCCCAGCATAGAGCCCAACTCAGGGCCTGAACTCTTTAAATCTATCTACCTGCCTATCTATATTTTATTTACGTTTTTAAGTAGACTTCACGCCCAGCATGGAGTCCAACACAGGTCTTGAACTCATGACCCTGAGATCAAGACCTGAGCTGAGATCAAGAGTCGGATGTTTATCCAACTCAGCCACCCAAGTGCCCCTTTATGAACGTCTTTAAATTGCAAACTCTGTCCCCATCCCAAAGTTGTCCCACTGTCTTCTCTAGCTTGAATTTTCTCTCTTATCAATATCCAATGTATCAGAAATCCCAAACTCTGACCTAAAGCCTTGATCCTAGAGTTTGGAATTCAGAATTCTTCAGATTTTTTTGAAAGGTACTATGGTATAAATACTATGTATTGCCTAACACCCCTAGTGGGGCCTGGGTAACATCTCCAAATCAAACACTTTTCTTTATCTGCAATGAAACATAAGAATATTCAAACCAAAGGGCACCGGGGTAGAGCTCAATCAGTTAAGCCTCCAGCTCTTGATTTTGGCTCAGGTCATGATCTCACAGTTCATGGGTTTGAGCCTCATGTCAGGCTCTGCACTGATAGCATGGAGCCTGCTTGGGAATCTCTCTCTCTCTCTCTCTCTCTCTCTCTCCCAGATAAATAAACTTTATTTAAAAAAAGAAAATTCACATCAAGTTCAGTAAGTAAAAGCTACAATAATTTTATGTCAGTAAAGGTCAGGCTTTGCCACAAATGAGCTGTGAAGAAAAACTGGTATTCAGACATTTTTGAAAATTGGAGTTGTGGCTCTGTGTCTAGTGTATTTCTCTTGTTGTCTGTCTCTCACATATTAAAATGTTAGCTCCCTGATGGCAGAAATTTGTGTCTCTTCTGTTCACTGCTACAGCCCCGGAGCCTAACTACACAGCACCTGACACACAGCAGGTGATCCATAGTGTTTGTTGGATGGATGGGTGGATGGATGGGTGGATGGATGGATGGATGGATGGATGGATGGATGGATGGATGGATGAATGAAAGACATCGGGGGCAAGGGAAGCAGATAACCCTTTCCTGGTTCCTGAATAATTCCATGGCCCAAATGGCCTGTCTGAAGCCCCTCAGACCCAAGTGGATTGTGGGGAGGTCTGTGCCTCCAGACCCCTCCAACGCTGGGTCCTCAAGGGTTGGATCTCAGCACAACCTTCCAGTAAGAACCCTTGCTCTCATCCATGAAGCCAGGGTCTGGCATGGGGGCCCTAGTGCCCTCACCCTACTCCCTAGGTCCTCTGCACCCTGACCACAGTCAGAAACAGGCCAGCTGCCTGGAGGAGGTGGCCATGTGAGGCTGCTCACCATGTGTTTGTGTGCCTAACATGTAGCCTTACGTGTGGCGCTGTTTGCATTTGGCAGACGAAGAAACAAGAGAACACCTTCTTGATGTCACCCAACCAGGAAATGCTGAGCCAGTATTTAAACCCAAGTCGCTGGCTCAGTGGGCCCACGCTGCTTTTCCACAATCACTCTCAGAGACACTATGACCATAAACCCACACCCAACCTCACCTACAGACCCACGATTAAAGTCTTCCAAACCCCGACACCTGGGGCAGGAGGAAGGCAGATGGCCAAACTTCTGTTACAAACAGGTCTTTATTAAAGATAAGGAGGGGGCAGGAAAGGGGGGCAGTATCTCCTCTGCCCACTGCCTTTGGCTGCCTGGGGCAGGGGAGCCCTCTCTGCTCCACCCATGCCCCCCATGATGGCACATCTGCATGAGGCTGGAGCCCAGGGTGGGGGGCAGTGTAAAGGACAGGGACAGATTCCAAGGCAAAAAAAAGTCCCTTCCCACAGCCCTAATAACAGAGGGGTCTGGGGTGACCTGGGCACAGACAAGGGGAGAGACAGCACCCTGAACCCCAAAACCTCTGAACTGGGGCAAGCCCTGCGTAAGTTGGGAGTTAGGAGGGACTGAGTGAGGTTGCACATGGGGGAGGGGCTGAGAGAGGAAGGGGTGCTCCAAGGACCCTGCCACGGGGGAGCCTGCCCCCCATTCTCCAGCTGGACTCTCCATTCTGAGAGAGGACCCGATAGCACAGGATGACCCCACCTCCCTCCTCTCCTTTGCACATGCTTAGACATTGGCGGTCCCCCATTGACTGGAATCATACCCACCCATCCTAGAGATTCCGAAAACCAAGGACTCCTATTGGTTGTTCAGACGCTGAACACTAACTGGAGTTACCCTCTTGCCTGAGGATTCTAAGATGTGAGGGGAGGCTCCCGTTGGCTGGAGTAAACTTCTTTCGAGTAGAAGTTTTAGAACTGGGGACTCCCATTGGCTCAGCAGTGGCCAGTGGGGGTCAGGTTTTGGCCCTTAAAAGAGCCATCCTAGGGGCAAGGGCCCACCTCCCAGTTACGCCCACCTGGATGTCCCAGAGGGCAAGAGAGGAAGGGCCCTCCCCAAATGTCCTTCCAGCCAGCCTCTAACATCTAGGCCCGGCTGGTTGGCGCACAGGGGGCTTTGGCACTCACATGGCACACGCACACTCACGTGTGGCAGGGAAGGAAGAGGGACCTGGAAGATTCTGGGTGGGTGGTGGGGCCTCACAACAGGTGGTCACGGCTGGCAAACAGGTAAGGGCTGAAGTTGTCCCGGTGGAAGGGGGAGGGATAGAGTCCACTAAGGGTGTACAGGTCCCGAAGCAGGGGTGTGGGCAGCATCAGCTTCCGACCCCGTCCACCACCCCCACCCGGCCCCCCAGGCCCAGGGGAGGAGGGTGAGGGGCCCTGGCTGGGGGCTGGTGCCGGCAGGGGTAGGGGCAGAGGGAGGGGCGTCGGCTCAGACCTCAATCGAGGGCGGGGCACACGGGGCGACGAGCACATGGCTGGAGCCCTGGAGGACACGCAGCTGGGGATCAGGTGGCCACGGCGGGCACAGTTCTGCGACTCTGGGGGTCAGGGTCAGAGGTCAGGGGATCAGAAAGCTTGGGAGGGGGCCACGAGAGCATAGGCGAGACCTCTGTGGCAGTGACTGGGACCTGGAAGTCCCCCCGGTTATCCCCCCACTCCCTCGACACTCACTGGATGGGGTGAGCCGTGCCGGTGTCGAATGCGGCCTGCAGGCCTCGGGTTCCTGAGACAAAGAGGCAGAGGGAAGGGGCTAGCGGCCCCCTGGGCCCCGCCGGCCACAGCCACGAGGGGCTCATCAGGCAGAGCCCAATGGAAAAGACAGCCAGAGTTTTCCAGATTAGCCATCACACATCCTTCAATTTTGTGGGACTGTCCCCCAGGACCTAGGTCCACAGAGACGAGCCATCCCTCTACCTCCCCATGGCCCGGACACCCCCACCTCTTGCCTGAATTCCTGCGCCTCCTTGGTCACCCTCCACCCACCACCCTCTCCAGCCGGGAGCAGACCCCGGCCCCCCTTACCTGGGCCACACTTAACTTTTCGAGGGGGCTGTCCATGGTGGGGGCTTGGCCCAGGTCTTCCCAGGGGGAGAACCTTCGGCCAGAGGGCCGCCGGCTCTGGAAGTTGTGTACAACGCAGGTGACCTGGGGCAGAGTGAGAGGTGCATGTTGAAGCCTGAAGCCAATAGTGTAGGCGTTGCGTCAATACCAGCCCCGTTTTTTCAGATCCCGAAAGTGAGGCTCGGTTAGCCTCAATTAACATTTTCTGCAGCACATTTATGTGCCAGGCACTGTTCTTTCCATTTTACTAAGAGGTAGGCACTATTATTATTTATTTCACAAGGCCATGACTAGGGCGAGACAAATAAAGCTAAGTTGTGCAAGGGCAGGATCTGATCCTGTCTTTAAGTTTTTGACCTTTTGGACATCATGTGTTTTTGCATGAATTGTGATTTTAAAAAATATTTCATTAAAGCATTGTTTATCTTGATGACTGAGTGTGTTGGTGCCCGCTTCAATTCTGCACTCGTAGAGAGGACCTCACTCTACCTACCCCCGTCCTGGTATCCGTTTCACAGATGAGAACATCTACGCAGGGTAAGGGTAAGGGACTTGCCCAAGGTCGCACGATCCCTTCACTATCATGTGGTCCTGCTTCTTGGGGCAGAGAGCTGATAGTGGGCCTCCCGTACTGGGACGGATGGCAAGGTGGCTCACCAGAAATGTCGCGATGGCAGCGCCTGTCAGGAAGCCGGCCAGCACATCTGACCAGTGATTGCGGTACTCGGCCACGCGGACCACGCCCACCAGGAAGGCTGGGCACAGCAGGGCCAGGCAGAGCGAGGGTTTGACCAGGCGGGAGCCCTTCACTCGGAACACGAGTGTCACGTACATCTGCGGGAGTCAGGCCAGTCAGGGGACACATGGCAGCGCAGTGGATACAGCATTCATTCCGCGCTAGGGGGCGTGGCCAGAATCTCTAAGAAAGGCATGGCGGCAAGAGGGTGTGGCCAGGGGCTCCAGCGAACAGAACCGGGGGACAGGACTTCCGGGATGGAGTCATGAACCCCCGGTGGACCCTTGCACGGGTAGGGGAGTGGACAGGGCACCAAAGAGCAGTGGACAGAGTCTGGGGCCCAGGTCTTCCCAGGACCAGTCACAGATGGGGGAAGACGCTTCCTAGGTTAGCACTAAGCTTCAGAACCAGGGGATGGAGTCAAGGCTCAATGGGCAGGTCCAGGAATTTGAGGACGTGGAATCCCCAAACCCCGGGGGACCACGGACAAGTATAGAAGCTGGTCATGGACACCAGAAAAAGGAGTCAAAGCTACAGGAGGTGCGAACCAGGGAAAAGCAGGGGACAAAGGAAGTCCCAGTGGGTCAAGTCAGGGATGAACAGGCCGCATCAACAAAGGGCAAGGACAAAGAGGCTCCAGGGGACCAAGTTTGAAAGCACCCCCGTCCAGTCTCCCAGCCAATATCTAGCACCTGTAGCATCATGGGGACATGGCTAGACTCCAGGGAATGGAATCCAGTGTCCCAAGGACAGTGTTTTGGTCCCACAGGCAGAGCCAATAGCCTCCTTTGGGCATAGCATTCCTGGGTCAGGTGGCGTGGCCAGACCCAAACGGGGCAGTCAAGAACACAGAATAAACTCAGACTCTGGGACCAGCCACTCAGAGGGGCAGGGTCACCCTCGGGGCAGGGCAGTGTCACAGCACCGGGGCCTGACCTCACCCTGGGAAGGAATCAGAGGTTCTGGCTCAGTGTGGCCTCCTGCCCACTATCCGCCCCGATACTTTTGTGCCCCTGTTTTGGAGCTCACCGCTGTGTAGGTGACCGCGTAGGCGCAAAGGGCAGCATCCTTGCAGGGGAAGGCACGGCGCGCAGCGGCCACCAGGCTGGGGCTGCCGGCACAGGCGCCCTGGTCGGTGACGAAGCGGTCGGGCCCCGGCCTGTCGGGCGAAGGCGGTGGGCAGCCCAGGGCCGTGTAGTTGGGGCGGCACACAGACAGGAAGTGTGGGGTGGGGTTGCCAGTCACCACCTGCCCAGCGTTGGCGAAGATGGTCGTGGTGAAGAGGCCGAAGGAGTAGACCCCTAGGGGCGGGGTGGGAGAGGGGGTTCATGCCAGGCCCCTGATACGCCAGGGGCCCTCCTCCTGTGAGCCCTTATGTCTTGTTTGGGCGCCTTGTCTCTTTGTGCCTGTGACCATCATTAAAGCACAGCTGGGCATCCCCCTAAGGCCACATCCCATTACAGCTGGGCCAGGTCCTCTTCCCTTGATGTCACTTTGAGCCTCTTGCCTCTCTCTTGGATTATGACTATATCAGGAGGGGGTCCTCCCCTGGAACCCCAATACATCTAGGCTGGGAGCCCTCAACAGCATTACATCAGGATTGGGCGTATGCCCGTCTGTCCCCAAGACCACCATTTTGGATGAGCTCTGCTCTTCTCCTACACCAAGGCCACCAAGCGTGGCTGGGACCACACTTAAAGCACCGTGGGATCTCAGTGTCCTGTTCAGGGTGCAGTGGGGGGTGGGACGGCATTTGGCCTGGGCCTGTGTCCCCCTTTTTTGCCTTGTGACTCTCCTTGTAGCAATCTGGGGGCCCTCACGGTTGCCATCATGGTTGGCTGAGGCCCCACCCATGTCCCTAGAGCCCCCATGACGCCTGGCCTCAGCCCAAGTCCCTTTTTGCCCCAGAGAGTCACCGCCATGACAGTTCTAGGCCCTCTTCCCCATAAAATTCTTATGAGGGCTGAATCTGGCCCATATTTCCTTTGCAGAGCCGACCACCTGGCCCTGTCACTCACCCAGGAAGCGGACCAGCCTCCGCAGTGGGGGGCTGAAGCGGCAGCAGGCCCCCGACACGATGGTGCTCTCCCCGATGATGGGGATGGTGGAGGGCAGCGCGGGGAAGAAGGCACGCGCCAGCTCCCCCAGCAGGATCTGCGGGCAAGATCAAGGCAGGGTCTTCCTGGCCTTCAAATCCACCCCCCCCCAACCCACCTCTGCCTGGCCCTCCTGCCGCCAGGGCCCGACCAAGGCTACTCCCAGTCTCACCGTGAGGGTGGGCCCCGCAGTGACTAGGGCATAGATGAGAGCGGGAGGCACTCGGCTGGCAGCCTCAGGGCCCGGGTAAGGCTTGGCATAGGTGCTGTCATAGCAGAAGAAGCCCTGGGTGTGCACGGGGAAGGTGTCCGTGAACTCCAGGCGGTAAGCGAGCAGGACCACGATGCCCAGAAGCACTGACTGCCACCCAGTCGCGGCGGAGAGACAGAGAGAGAAGAGACCAGGGTCAGGTCCAAGGTGGGGCCATGGTGAGAGACAGAGATGGGGGGGAGACAGAGAGAGCAAGACTGAGGAGATAAAAAGGGTGAGAGAGACAGGGGAGGTGGAGAATGGTCAGGGCCTGGGAGACACAAAGAGATGGAAACAGAAGGCAGAGAGGAGGGAGAGGGGGCAAGGGGAGGGGAGGAGAGGAGAAAGAGAAGGGACTCAGAATGGAAAGGAAAGAGGAGGTGAGATTGGGGAGAGTGAGAGTGAGGACCGGGCCAGGGCTCAGACCGGAGAGAAGGGTCAGTGGGTCGGGAGAGGACAGACCAACAGACGAGAAGATAATCCTACTAACAGAAGTGTAAGTACTCCCAGAAGTACAATCCTTGCTGGGGGCGGGACGTCATACTAACCCTCTTCCGGGAATTATAATACATCTTACCTTCATAATCATGCTAGGAGAAAGGGACTGTAATTATGTGCCCATTTGACAGACAAGAAAACTGAGGCTCAAGAGCAGGGTATGTGAGGTACCCAGGGTTCTGTGGGAAGGATGGGCAGAGCGGGACTGAACTCTGGGAGTGTGGCTTCTGAAGGCACCTCCTCCCCGCTGAGGGTCTAGGAGGGAGTTGGGGTCGGGGGTGCGCAGGGGGAAGAGTTACTGGGTTCCTCACCTCCACGAAGACAAAGCAGGGAATGATGGAGAAACTCCTCTTGGGCTGAGGTCTCCCTCCCGCCATGGTGAAGGCCGGGCCTGTGGAGGTGGGGAGGGAATGGGACGGCCAGGGCGGGGTCCGGGGGGAGGCTCTGGTCACCTGCCCTAGTAGAGTCCTCTGGCCACACCCTGGCCTCCTTGGGCCCCAGAAGCACTCTGAGGGAGCCCTGGCTCCTCCCACTGAGCCTTCTGGCCCAGACCTTGACTATGCAGGCCCCTGCCCACCAGAGGCTCCGGCCTCCCCTGACACCCCAGCAGCCATCCTCCTCCAGGGATCCCAGAGGTTCTATGGTGGTCTTCTCCCCCAAAAGCCCACAGAGGAGGTTGAGACCCCTGGCCTCTTAGGAGGGCCTCTCCTCCTTCCCCTATAGGTCACCTCCCCTCGGCCTTTGGAAGAGCCTTCTTCAGCTTAATGGGACACAGAAAGATCCATTTAGAAGGATCCTCACCCCCACTAGTTTTTAGGGGACCCCATCCTCTTTCTCCATGTGCTTTAAAAGGCACCCGATGCTCTGTGGCCCCCACCCCCACCAGGCGCCTCCTCTAAGCCCCCTCCCCCATGGCCCATAGGAGCCTCTCTCTCTCCTGTCCCCATGGGCTGTGCCTGACTGGTTTGGGCTGATGGCCAGGCCCTCCTTCTCTCCCAGCTGCCTCTCCCTCTCCCCCTCCTCCCAGCCTGTCTGTTTCTCTGGATCATGAGGGGGGCTATCTTCTCCCAACAAGCCCCCTCTCCCCCAGTCTTAACCTTGGTCCCCAGCACTGAGGGGCCAACAGAGCCACACCTGCTCAACCCATTCTCCCGGGCTGACCTCACCTGTGAAAAGGCCCTATGGCTTCCCACAGGCCTCCGCCACACCCACAGACTCACAGCCGCTCCTGGCGGCCAGCAGGACAGGGATGGTCAACCCCATTGCACAGATGTGGAAACTGAGGCCCAGGAAGGTGAGGGTAGGCACTCTGGGTCCAGTGCCCCATTCACGCAGCTTGCTCTGCAGTGTGACATGTGGGGTAAGGGTCACCAGGTATCTCAGATGCCCACCGGGCCATGGCCCCTCACCCTTCCAGAGACGCAATCACACATGCTGGCATCCCTAGAGTACACAGCCCAGCCACAGCCTCCATGGCAAACACCGCGTGCCCACACACACACACACACACACGGCCCCGCATTTGTCCATCCCACAAACAAGGGTCCGGTGTCAGCTGGGTTTCAGGCACTTGGCTCGTGGTGAACAAGACAGGCCTGTTCATTCAGACAGGTGCCCAACACCCACTACACACAACTGTACACTCACACACACGGCACAGAGTGCACACGGCCTGTCACAGACACCCACACAGATCAAACAACTCCCCCCACACACACAGACACAGGGACGCAAGAGGAGGCCCTTCACACGCTTCACAGCCTCACACAGGTACTCACCCCCCCCATCAAGGCCCTGCACACTTAAGATTTACATCAAAAAGAGTCACCACACACAATGGGGGTCATAAACCGGTTACAGCGTCACACCCCCAATTACCAGGCACTCAGTGACAGCCACACACATTAACAGTCTCTCACCCACATTGACACTCATAGGAGACGATGTCATCCACAAGCTCGGCCACATGGCCACACAAGGGCACATATATGCATCGTGACACGGATTTGCACGCCGAGCCACACAAGCAAGGCGCATGATCACAGCCACACGCTGAAACAGAAGAATGGGCCCCCCCGCATCAGCAGAAGGAACACACAATGGCAGTCATATGCACACAGCCATACAGACAGCAAGACAGCCACACAGTCACAGTGACAGCAGTCACAACAACACAGCCACACACACGCACCCTCAGAGTGATACCCATGACGCCAGCCACACAATGACAGCCCCAAGAGACAGCCACACACACCCCACACAGACCACACCGGCATCGCCAAAGCCACACAATTGGAGTTATACAACCACACACCACTGACACATAATGACAACCACACAATCACAGTCACCCTCACCACCGCCGCCTGCCTTCTTAGGTCTGGGGTCCCCTCTCCACGCTCCCCTCCCCAAACCCGGTCCTCGAGCGCAGGCTCACTGCCTCCCCTCCCCCTCCCCGTGCTGCACCCACAGGGGACCCGACCCGCAGGAACTGAACCTTGGCCAGACAGACCGAGGATCGGAAGCCCGCGAGAGGGGATGCAGGGGGCGCCCCAAGCCCCTCTCCCTCACCGGGTCGAGGCTGTCACCGCCTGAGCCCCCGCTCCGCTTAGAAGTCACCCGGACAGCAGGACGAACAAACGGACGGCAGGCCCGGCCCGGCGGACGGACACAGCGATGGGAGACTCGTCGGCGCGGCAGAGCCGCGCAGGCTCAGCGAAGGAGCGAGGGGCGGGGCCTCCGGGCGCCTCATTTGCATAACCCTATGAGGCGGGGACTCGAGGCGTCTTATCAGCATGGTCGGGCGGGGCTTGGGGGCCGAGAGCGTTAGTACAAAATTGCGAGAGAATGAAGGATGCGGGTTGAGGGAGAACTAGGTGGTAGGGGAGCTGAGGGGAAGAGGAGGGCAGGGTGTGATAGGGCGACCCTGGGCCTCGACCTTCCCTCCCGGTGCCTCAGTTTCCCCTTTGGGGCAGTACGGGCCGCAGGCTACATCGCCAGGGCCCCCCCCAGAAAGGAGCTCTGGTGGCTAGTATGAACGAGCCTGTCTGGACACTCCTGTCTGGACAGACTGACCCCAGACTTAGTATATGCTAAATCTGGCCTCACTCTGTCCCCTGACCTTAAGTCTACATCTCCTCAACAGCCTCTGGGGTCTCCGCACCGCCCCCAACAGTGGGAAGTAACCTAGCGCGGGGAGGGGGGGGGGGAGGCAGGGGAGGATCATTCTCAGGCACAGGAAGCAGCAGGATCAACAATCCACAGGTGGAAGAGGGTCTTGGCTAGTTTATTTTCTCTCTGGAGGGGTCTTCAGGGAGAGCAGTCCCGGCTGCTCAGGCTGCGGAGAGAGAGCAGGGTCAGGACCCAGCTCGGTATAGAGGACCTCAGGGCTGGAGGTCAGAGAGCCGATGTCCCAGTTGGGAGCTGGGAGGGTCCATACTGTGCCGCTCCGGGGCGGGCCAGGAGGGGAAGGGTGGGGCGGGGCAAGGGAGGATCCGCACCAGGAGGGGAGGAGCACCTCTTGCTGAACTGTGGCTGGGAAGGGTCCTGGTCTGAGTCTGAGTCCGAGTCCCAGGAGGGGAAGAGAGGGCTCAGGCATCGGTGCCCCTTGTGGCCTGCAGGAGGGACAGGTGCAGTTCTGGTCTTCTACCCACAAACCCTGAATGTGACCCTTGAGTGGCATCATGATCAAGGACCAGCGGCCTTTGATTATGTCACTTGAACGTGACCCGACATGATACCAAAGTATGACCTCAGTGACCCCTGAATTTTACCACACTGATCCTTTACAAAGATCCCATTGACCCTGAGTGACCCCTGGATGGAAATCCTTAATACGACCCTAGAACAAGACCCAACAGCTGTGATCCTCAAATATGGCCTCTGAACATGACCTCTATGTGTGAAACTGGAGAATGAACCCCCCCCACACCCAAAGGGCACATCATCCCCCTCACCCCTGAGGTTCGAGGCCCTGGGGTGGCCCCCTGCGGACATGGCGAAGAGATCAAAGGAGTTTTGCAGCAGATGCACCGCGGACCTGCAGGGAGATGGGGAGCTGGGGGCCCTGGCAGACTCCTGGCTGCTCAGGGCTGGGTCAGGGGGGTCATGGTGGGGACAGAGGTAGAGGTGAGTCCTGGGAGGAGAGGGACGTCTGGACTCAGGTGGGCTCCACGTTCTGGTGGTCGGTCGCTGCTTGATCTGACTGGTGGGAGGGCGGGGCGGATGACGGTCAGAGATTAGAGTGGGAGCAGGGCATCACCATATGTCACTCAGCTCCTTTTGGAGGTCATCCCTCCAGGAGCCACTGCCTCCTGGTGGCATCTTCTCAGTCTCCGGCCAGTTGGATGTCTCATGCCCCTGCTGCTTCATCTTGGTCAGGACCTGGGGCCGGGGTGGGGATGGGGGGTGGGAGATGTGTGTGAGAAAACAATAGTACTAACAATGACGATGGTGAAAAACGTCCACTATAGAGCACTTATTATACGTCAAGCTGCCCTCAGAGTGTTTAACATTCAGTTCATGCAGCTACTTCTTCAGGTAGGGACAGGTTGTTATACCCATTATATGGATGAGGAAACTGAGGCCCAGAGAGATGAAGTGCCTTGACCATAGTCACAGAGCAGTAGGTGGCAGAGCTGAGATTTGAACCCAGGCCTTCCAGCTCCAGTCCGATGGTGGGGACCGATAGAGATTCCCCTGTCCCCCACTCCCACGGGGTCCTAACTTCTCTGCTCACCTTGCGGCACTTCACCTGCGTCTTCTGCATCTTCTGGATGTTTATCAGGTTCTCTGTGATCTCATCCTCCTGAGCCTCTGTAGGGGGAGGGGACTCAGGGGGGCCAGAGCTGGAGAAGGACCCCCCTCCTGGCTGTGGGCTCCGGGCACTCACGGAGCTTCTGATAGATGAAGGTCACCTCCTCCCGCACCAGCTCCAGCTCCTCCCATAGGAACTTCTTGCTGAGGGGACAGTGCAGCCTAGACCCACAGTCCCTGCTCAGCCTTGGTCTCCTATTTCCTGACCTTCTGCCCTCCCGTTTGCCAACCTCACTCCTCAAGCTTCCTCCAACTCCCACATTCCGGTCTGTTCAACCACCCATCCCCCCAGGGCCTGTCCCTTCCCCCAACCTGCGAGTCCCCCTTGCCCCCCACCTCCAGTCCTTCCCTCTCATCCTCTCCTTCTGACCTCCAGCCTCTGATTGCGTCAGCCTCTTGTTGCCTGGCCTCCATCGCCCCACTTTCTGCCCCTCTGGCCTCCCATACTCTCCCACCCTCAGTCTCTCCTCCCTCCGGCTTACTGTGTCACCTCCAGTTTCCGGATCCCCTGGCCTCTCTCCCCATCCCATCTCCAGCTTCCTGTCTTCCCTGCCTTCCGGCCTGCAGCTTCCCACACCGCCTCCCTACTGCTTCACTGCCTCCTCATCCCCTGGTCTTTTTTTTTTTTTTTTTTTAATGTCTTATTTATTTCTGAGACAGAGAGAGAGAGAGACAGTGTGAGCAGGGGAGGGTCAGAGAGAGAGGGAGATACAGAATCCAAAACAGGCTCCAGGCTCTGAGCTGTCAGCACAGAGCCCTACGCGGGGCTCGAACCCACGAACCGTGAGATCATGACCTGAGCCGAAGTCGGACGCTTAACCGACCGAGCCCCCCAGGCGCCCCATCCACATCCCCTTGTCTTGTCGCCCAAGCCTTCCACAGTCCCCAGTCCTCCTTACTCAGGCCTCTCCCACCTGCCTCAGCCCCTCTCCCTGGCTTCCCTTCCCTCCCACAGCTTGCAGGCTGCACTCCTGACCATGCCCACCTGTCCCGGATCTCCTGGGCCAGCAGCTGCAGGCAGCGAGTGGTGCGGGCCCTCTGTACCTCCTCACTGTCACGCAGGGTCTTCTGTAGCCCTTGAAGGCCTTGAGCCAGGGCCCCGTACAACTCCTGCCGCCCCTGCTCCACGACCCACTTGCGTCCCTCCTCTTCTGCCTGGCGGCTCATGGGTCTCAGCACCTCTGAAGATTAAGTTGGGGTCTTGATGAGCCACAGACACACCTGCACCCAGCTCTGAACCCAGCTTGCCCTAACCCTGGCCGGACCCTGACCCTGACCCTAGACTCACCCACCTTCTTTCACCTTGGGCTAACCCAGCTGACCCCAACAGGACCAGCCTCCTGCCTGACTTTGACCTTTGGCCAGTCCTCACCTTCAAGCTGCTGGATCTTGATTTGCTGCAGGCAGCTCTCCTTCTCCAACATGGTCACGGAGTGGTTTAGGAACTCGAAGGCCTGCGAGGAGGAGGTCAGGCTTGGGGACAGGGGCAGGGAGGGGGTGGACAGGGCCAGAGGTTGCTGAGGGCAGGGCAGAGGTGACTCACACCTTGGTCTGGGCATGTAGCTGGGTCTTGAGTGACTCTAGTTCGCATCGCAGGTGCTTCTGGGAGTCAGGAATCATCATGGTGGACTTAGCTATGAGCAGAGGTGGGGGTCAGCCAAGGTTAGGAGGGGTGGCGGCAGGGGCAAGGTCAGGTCAGGGGTCAACAGAAGCTTGGGGGGGGCAAGGGGCAGGACAAAGTAAGGAGCTAGGGTCTGTCGAGGCTGAGGTAGAGGCGGGAGTGCAGGACAAGGCTAGGGGCATAACTCCAGCTGACGATGGGGCAGGGATAAGTGGGCAGCAATGGCGTAGCTCTCCCAGGCACTGCTAGGGCAGAGGGTGGCGGAACTGGCGGATCTTCCACACATAGTCTTGTTGGGAGGCAGGGTTCTCACCTTTGACTTTGGAAGAGCTGGTCTCCAAGGGCTTCTAGGAAACAGGGACGTGAGGGCAGTAGAAGTTCATCTCTGTGCTTCTCCTTGCTCACCCAATCCATAGTGTGTGGGGGCTGGGCATGAGTCACCTGCACTGAGTGCTGGGTGCCCCAGACCCCGGATGCAGGGAAATCTGCCTCTCCGTACATGCGCCCACCACCGCCCAGCCCCCACTGGCCCACACATGGTCAGAAGTATACTTGTGTGGCTTGTCCCCTGCTTGCACATGCCTGGGGGCTGCCCCTGACAGCACGCGCCTGCAGAGCCCCATCCCTGGCTTGGGCTCAGGCAACGGCCCTCCTCCTTAAGGGCAAACAACATAGACCACGTCTGTGGGGAGCTCCAGTGGCCCCGAAGCACAACCACACACGATCGTCGAAACACAACTACAGCCGCACAACTACAGCCGCACAAGCTCAGACACAGCCACATACGCCAGGTGGTAAGACCCAGGGCATCCACTTACAATCCATCCCAGACACACAACCACAACCGAAGACACACAGGCAGTCATACCCAGAAACAATCACAGACAAGACTCCCCAAAGAGATAATTGTGCACCCATTCCATTCATCCCTTCATCCGTGCATTGAAGACATTTTTCGCGTGGGCGGGCTGAGCACCGGGTGCTGTTCAAGGTGCTGAAGATACATATCGTGAGGAGGACAGGGCCTCCCCGGCCCCCAAAGCCCCGCCCAAGCCCTAGAGCAGTAGACCGAGGTGTGGCCAGGAGGGGTTTCCCGGGTGGGGGTGACCTTAGTGATGGTATGATGCTTCTTCAGGTCGTGGTCATTACACTGCTCCTGTGAGTCTGGGTTCTGGATGAGGGGAGACCCATACAATCGAGGCCCTGAGTCCCTCCCAGGCCTCCAGTCTAGACTCCGCACTGTGTTCTCAGAAGCAATTGGCTCCAAGGTCTCCGGCTCTGGGGTCCTGGTCCAGTGAATCGTATAGTCCAAGGTCTTGTCTGAGGAAGAGTCTGAACGGAGGGTGGGTGGGGGAATGTGGGGGTGAGGGCTTTGTGGGGGCGGGAGGGCTTTCTGGGGCTGAACCGGAGCACTCCAGCCCCTCCCAGCTCCCCAGCCCCCGGGAAGCACCTCAACACACCCCAGTACTTGTCACACTTCCCGTTAGCAGGCAAATACACGTTGGAGGGCAAGGGAGATGAGCAGTCGCAGGGCAGAGAGTGGTCAGGGTCCTGGGGTAGGCCAGCCAGAAGGGGGTCGCTTCAACAAGGGGGGGACAGGGGGCTGCACTGAGACCAGCCCCCATGTCCTGACACTCCCAGGCCTTCCCTAATACCCCAGAGCGGCCTCAGCCCTGAACACAAGGCCTCCCAGTTATGGCAGGAGCAGAAGCTGGATGAAAGAGAATCCCAGCCCCTGGCATTGGGCTGGGTAGTGAGAAGGATCCAGAAGACCCCCACAGAAGAAAGTGAGGCCTCAGAAGAGCCTAAAAGCAAAAAAGGATCTTAGCGTTGGGAACTAAAGGAAGGGCATTCCCGGCACGGAAGAGCATGTTGCAAAATCTTCGAGGTGTGGAAGCACGTGCTCTGTGCTGGTACATTCAGGATGGCTGAAGGTAGGGTCCAAGAGGAAGCGGTAGGTTAGCAAGGCAGCTCAAGCAAGGCATTGAAAGCCAAGCAGAGGAGTTTAAGAACACCACTCTGGGTCTCACACTCATGCCCCCTGTTCAACAGTCCAGTGTTGTTAGGGCTGCTGCCGATGGAGACCTGGGGGAGGTCGGCCTGGGGAAACTTCCAGGTGAAGGGCATGCTGTCCTGAGTCACATTCAGCCAGAAAGCCCACACTCTAAGGCTTTCCCTTCTGCCCTTGCTGGGCTGGCTGGTGCCCTTCCTCTGGCCCCAGTCCTCCGAAAATACTCCTATATGCCCTTCAAAACTCTACTCAACATTTGCTTTCTAAAATCTTCCTTAATCATTTTTTTTTAAAGCTCATATTTTGTGAGCACCTCACTGAGGGCTAGGCACCACCATAAGCACTCACTGGGTCTTCATACCCATTTAGGAGCTTTTCTTCTGCCCGAAATGTTCTAGGCTACCCCTTCAAGAATCACTGTCTCGGGAGGTCCCACTTCCAGAGGCCATACAGCATGATGATTAAGCGAGGAGACTCTGCGGCTGGGTGCCCTGGGTTCGAATCCTAGCTCTGCCCCTTCCTGGCTGTGCGATGTTAGAGACATCTACACATAGAGACTCTCCATGCCTCAACGTCCGCAACTATAAAAATGCGTGTCATACTATATCCACCTTATTGGGTTCTTGCGATTAAGTAAATTAATCTATGCCAGTGCCTGACCTACAGTTAGTGGGAAACCCCTCGAACGTCACGCTGAGAACCTGGGAAACCATAGGAGCCCTGGGTGGCTTGAAGGGAAAGAGGAAAGTTGATTTCTGAATGCCAACTACAGGCAGGTCCCCAATCGAGCCCCCCTCCCTTCCGCATAACCTTCCTCCAACCACTCCCACAATAGCGGTTTCTCGGGCTGTCCCCGGGAGAATTCTTAAGGAAGGGGGCGGGGTCATTAGCCTGAGCCCCGCCCCCCGGGCCGAGAATCGCGCCCGCCGGGCTCTCTACCCCCTTTCACCCCCCACCTACTACATACCACCTGCTCATGCTCTCCCCTCAGGGACCGCAAAGCCTATCCCCAGCTGTGACGCTGAAATTTGATCCCGTGGGGACACCATCGTATTAAAACGCGCAAAGCCTAAAGGCAGAGTCACAGAGAGGGGTGTGGCTGACATTTTAGCTCCGCCCCCGTCGATGCAGCCAAAGGCCTCATTGGCGCCTTCCTGCTTCCGCCGATCTTAGGAGCCGCGGTGTAATTGGGTAAAAGCTATCGAGGGGGCGGGATTCCAGGCTGGTTTCCGCTAATCGATTTGTCCATATCTAAGAGGGTGGTACGTGAGGCGGCAGATCTAAGATCCAATTGGCTTCGGGCTTCGCTGGGAGGCGGGATGAATTCTTGAGAGGGGGCTGAGGAGGTCTGCGGGCCACCTGGGAGCGCGGGAGCAAGGTAGCAAGCCCAGCCCACCTGGCCTACAATATCTGGCCTGGGTGCCTCCATCCTCGGACTCCTGGGTGTTGCGGGCTGAGGTCTGGGTACAGTGGTAGGGTCGGTGTCCTCGGGATGAGATTTGAGGTTTCCCAGGACTAGACGGGATCTCCGGGGGGTGCTATAGGCATCTTCGTAGTGATATCTGGGATCCTGAGTCGAGAGCAGGAGTCAGAATTCGGTCCCTGAGCTGATTTGGGGGGAATCACTAGGAAGACCTCTGAATACTCAGGGCTGTGAGTTTGTGCTGCGGGGCCTAACTGAAAATTTCGGCTTTTCGGACGAGGCGTGGTTGCTGGGGTCCAGAGAGCCTGGATCTTGAGGGCTGACATTTGGAGAGATGGGGTTGGTGGTTGTCACAGAACTGTTCTGGGTCTTCCCCTCCCCCCATTCCCGGGCTGGTATCCCATGATCTCTGCTGGGTTGGCCGTGACCCTGGCCTTGAGCAGGCTCACAGGCTGAAGACCAAGGGGCAAAGATAAAACTCTGAGCTACCCAGTGCCTCTTTCCCAGGCCTGCAAGATGGAGGAAGGTGGGAATCCAGGAAGCCTGACCAAGATGGTCCATCTACTGGTCTTGTCAGGGGCCTGGGGCATGCAAATGTGGGTGACCTTCGTCTCAGGTAGGGACCCTCCATCTGGACATCATGGGTGCGGGGGGTGGAGACAGGAATGAGAGGGGAGACCTGGAAATGTCCTAACAGGCGTGGTCCCTTGCGCCCCACAGGCTTCCTGCTTTTCCGAAGCCTTCCCCGACATACCTTCGGCCTTGTGCAGAGCAAACTATTCCCTTTCTACTTTCACATCTCCATGGGCTGTGCCTTCATCAACCTCTGCATCTTGGCTCTACAACATGCCTGGGCTCAGCTCACATTCTGGGAAGCCAGCCAGGTATGCGGGCTTGGGCTCCACTGCCCTCTGGTCATTTGTTCCCAGGACCTCACTGAGAACCCATGGCCACACCTTTGTGAGAATTAAAAACAAAAACAAAAAACAAGCAACTGCACCTTCCTGGTGGGCACTAAGCTGGGCTCTGGATACCCTTGAGCAGTGCGCAGCCTGCACAACCATCCCTAGTAGCCCGGTCTATCCCCCAGTGTCTCTCTGCTGGCTGCTGCTCCCTCTCTTTCCCCTGGCTAGGCCTGCTGCCAAGTTGTGGTGACTCAGCTGGGTTAGGGCAGTGACCCCAGCTTATTGTTTAAAAACCAGCCCGACTGGGAATTTACGGTTCCCCACTCCCATCCACACTTTCTCTCAGCCACAAGGCAGGGGACCATCTCTGCATCTCATATTTCTCTATCCTGCCCTCCCCCTGCCCCCGTTATGTTCCGCAGATGTGGGCAGGTGAAGCTTGACAAAGTTTCCAAGAATAATCCCATTGAGACAGGATAGGACTATATGTAACTAGAACTTAACAGAACTTTCTCTTCACTCCCTGTGGACCCAATCTCGGCTTCTGGAGTCTGAGTGGGGCCCACAGAGGAGATGGACCCCATCTTAGGCTCTCTTTTGGGGAGGAGGGTTATGGTGCTCCGTCTCAGTTTGGGAAAGAGAGGTTCTGCCCTGAGATGCCCCCGGTTTTGGGGAATAGGAGGGAAGGAGACAAAGCTGTGTTGTGGAAACTTCCAGTCTGAGTATGCGAGGAGGAGAGGCGGCTCAGGAGGTTTCTGGGGGAAGAGGGGGCACAGTGATGGAGGCTGGCGTTAGGAGCTGCTGGATTCGGGGAATGAGAGCTGGAGCTCTGTTTCGGGCCTCTAGACTGGGTTTGGGGAAGAAGAGGGAGGCCTAACTTTGACCTAGTGCGGTCTCCCATCCCCCTCCGGGCTTTTGAGGGTGCAGGAGGACCCTCTCTAGGACACCTCCTGCCTCCTGGGCACACCCCACCTTTTCCTTCCACCCCCTCCTACAGCTCTTCCTGCTGTTTCTGAGCCTCGTGCTGTCCACCATCAACGCCCGCTGGCTAGAGCCCCGCACCACTGCCGCCATGTGGGCCCTGCACGCCGTGGAGAAGGAGCGGGGCCTGGGCGGGGAGGTGCCCGGCAGCCACCAGGGCCCGGACCCGTACGGCCAGCTGCGGGGACAGGACCCCAAGTACGGTGCCCTCCGCCAGATCTTCTTCCGCTACCACGGCCTGTCCTCCCTCTGCAATCTGGGCTGCCTCTTGAGCAACGGGCTGTGCCTTGCGGGCCTTGCCCTGAGCCTCAGGAGCCTCTAGCCCTGCGGGGGACCCCAAGGTCAAATAAACACGTCTTTGGAAATGGGTGCTGTCCTTTTTCGCCAACTGGAAAGCAGGCAGAGGTGTCGGCCAAGGGAGAGCCGAGGGCCTTCGCTACCAGGTTCCCACGGCCTGGTGGTTTGGAATGTTAGCTATCACGGCCCCTAAGCTCTCATCGCGACCATGACCAGTGTGCGTGAGAAGCACGTGTTGGATGTTGAGTGCCCTGGAGATTTGGGGACGGCTTGCCACTGATCCTACGCCGGCCCTTTCCGAGGCACAGGCACGCACGCACGTGGCAGCCCTGGGAGGGAGTTGCTGTTCCCGGGAAGCAACGGGAACAGGGAAGTGGCTTCAGGTGCAGTTGCTGGGGTACGAGCCCCAGCGAAGCCTGCAGATCCTCTCATGGCTTGAAGAAAACACTGGGGCCTCAGCGGGGCCTGGATGCCAACTTTCTTCACTGTGTGGCCTCCTGCAAGGGGCTGCCTGGCTCCGAGCTCCATTTCCTTCGCTGTAAAAGGCTTCATTCTAAGGGCCTGGAAGCGTATTTCGCAGGGACCCAGCCCGCTGGAGGGTCAGGCACTGCCCTTCACAAACACTGACACAGATCCGAGCCCTCACACAGCGCTGTGAGGCAGGGACTCTCGTTCCGGACCCCGGGACGGATGGGGAAACAGGCCCGCGAAGTTGAGGAACGCGTCCCAAGTGAAACAGAACTAGAAATTGATGGAGCAGGGATTTGAACCTGACTCCAGATCCTACGGTCTTCACTTATGGCACGTAGTAGGAGCTCTATGTAGTTAGGAAGAATGAAAAGTTTATTGGTGACGGGAGGGTTCTAGACTGCTTCTAGCTCAGGGCAGCTTCCAGCCCCTGCTTCCCGACGCCGCTCCCCGTCAGCCCCTGCGGCTCTCCCCCCCCGCGGCTCCCCCCCCCGCGGCTCCCCCCCCCGCGGCTCTCCCCGCCCCCCCCCCCGCAGTGGGGCTCAATAGCCAAGGCTACCAACCGGCCCCCGTCAGAGAATCGGGGCATATGCTGGTGTGGGTCCCCGCTGCCCAAATGTCAGTCTGCTGNCCCCCGCGGCTCTCCCCGCCCCCCCCCCCGCAGTCCCGCTTTTACAAGCCCCGCCCCGGACTCGGCCCCGCCCCGCCCCCTCCCGGGAGCGGCCCCTCCTCCCCCGCCTGGGCGGAGCCGGCGCGGGATCCGGGTGGCTGCGGGCAGCGGCGGTGGCATCGGCGGCGGCTGCGGGGTCGGCGTCGGGGCTGGGGCCAGGCTGCAGCGAGCTCGGAGGACGAACGCCCGCGGGTAGCGCCTCCCTCAAGCGAGGTGACCCCTTCGGTGGGAGCGCAGCCTGCCCCGTACATCCGCTTCCCAGCAGGTCTGGGGGGCTGAGGGGTTAGAGGGAAGGCCCGGGGCCGGGGGAACAAAGGCGAACGGAGGGGAAACGCCTCTTCCTTCGCCCCCACCCAGCTGGGCTCCTCCGGGAGCGTTAATGGGGCGCGGGCGGGGCGGAGAGTCCAGCTGGGAACAGGAGATGGGACCATATGGTGATGGGAGGAAGCGCCTGAGCCCCCCTGCACCGGCGGGGGCGCCCCGAATCCACTAGGGGGACTGGGCCGAGTCCGCCGGGGACCCCTATCCAGTGTCAGGCGTGAGCGAGGGTGGGCAGATGGTCAGGAAGAGGTGGCACCGGCCGACAGGTGGGCTGGGGCTGGGGGTGGGGTAAGGGCCCCAGCCTGGCGGCCCTGCCCAGCATGGGGAAAGGCTTCCTGCCACTTGTCTTCCCCTCCTCGAACTCGTTCTCCCGGAACACCGGGTGGGGCCGAGGGCTGGGCAGGAAAGCGCCCAGGTTCGGTCCTCTTTTAAAATGGGAGAAAGCCCCACAGGCAGTTGAGAAATAGCTTTGCGAAGGGTTCCTCCGCCACCGTGCCTTCCTTTCAGCCAGGCCTCCAGGAGCCTCATGGTGCCTCTCAGGGAGTAGCCATGGACAGCTGGGGAAACTGAGGCCTAGGAAGGTAGTGAGGGCTAAGGGGGTGTCCCTGACGCAGGTGAAGCAGCCCAACTGTGGGGACAGATTGCCAGCAAAGGGTCAGGGGTGGAGGGGTGGTGGTAAGGTTCTTATTATGTGGCTTCCTTGGAATTGGGGACTATCACTGCAGCCTCTGTGGGCTGGGGCTGGGGTGAGTCAGCCCTGCCTCTAGGGAGACAGGCCCACCCCTTTGACAAACAGAAGGTGGCAGTACCCATTTGGGGGGAGAGCTGGGCTTTAAGCCTGGGCTGTGTCCTCTGAAACCCCCTTCCCCATGGAGGTCAGGGATGGGGTTAAACTCTGCTTTGGAAGGTGGGGGGTGTCACGGCAGGTGTCCCTGCCAAAGTCAACACCCAGGCCCTGAGGGGGGGAGGCTCTATCCACCAGCTGGCAGGCCCCCCCTTCCCCCCAACTCACACCTGGGCTGGGCCAGCTGCTCGCTGTGGGGCAAAGTCCACACCCAGGCTTTCTGCAGGGTCTGGTTCCTCAGTGGCCAGAGGAGGCTCCCCATGTGCCCCCCCATCACCTGGGCCCTTGCACTTGCTAAATGTCCCCATTTTCCAGAAGAGAACACTGAGGCCCACAGAGACCAAGTGATGCATCTGAGGCCACTTAGCCTCCAAGTGGCAGAGTGAGGATTTGAATCCAGGTCTGGTGTGTACATTGGAGCCATTCCTGGTGTTTTACTGTTCTACAGGGCTTCAGCCCCGCCCCCCTCCCCCCCAGGAGGCTCCCTGCCAAGATGGCATCGGCCGGAGAACCCCCCAGTGGCCCACGGGATGCAGCAGACCAGAACTTCGACTACATGTTTAAGCTGCTTCTCATTGGCAATAGCAGCGTGGGCAAGACGTCCTTCCTGTTCCGCTATGCGGACGACTCCTTCACACCTGCCTTTGTCAGCACCGTGGGCATTGACTTCAAGGTCAAGACGGTCTATCGGCACGACAAGAGGATCAAGCTGCAGATCTGGGTGGGCCCGGCGGCTGCCGTGGGTCTGTGGCAGGGGACAGAAGTCTGTCTGCAGGCCCGGGAGGGCCTGGGGTCCCTCCAAGAATGTCCGTGATACGATGCAGGGCTGTGGGGAGGGGGTCCAGGGTGGGGGAGGGGAGGGGGCTAGGGGTAGACGTGAAGAGGAGGGGGACATTATCTATGGGCTGAATTCATCAGGATGAGGGGCACATGCCCTGCCCAGTGGAGTCTGAGGGGCAGATGGTGCCGATCAAGGCATTAGACATCCTGGTGACCAAAGGTGGGAAGAGGTTTGGGTACCATCGCAGGGGCGACCCCAGGGTCCCCCCACTGAGCCTCTGTGCTCTTCAGAGACAGGCTCATGCTCCCAGTGTGGCTGCAGGTGACGATTGTCATGGTAGCACCAGGATGTCTTCATCACGATGGTATTGTCTGGCCCAGCTGGCTGTGAGCCAAGTTTGGTCTCGGAGATGAGGTCAAAGGGGCTTACAAATATGAGAGGCGCTGACCCCTCCACCTGGGAATTCCCCAAGGGCAGGGCGATGTCTTCCATCAGACCCGGGCTCTGAGCACGGGGTGATGCCCTGCTTAGGGCCCTGCAGGGGTGGGGTGGCGAGCAGAGTAGCTTCTCGTCGCCTGACCCTGCTGCGTTCCTAGGACACGGCGGGCCAAGAGCGTTACCGGACGATCACCACAGCCTACTACCGCGGCGCCATGGGCTTCCTGCTCATGTATGACGTCGCCAGCCAGGAGTCCTTCACCGCTGTGCAGGACTGGTGAGTGCTTGTGACCGCGGACACCCTGGCCGTCGCCCTCTGGCCCTGGCCCTTAATCTCTAGCCTAATGGCCCTCCCACTCCACAGGGCCACACAGATCAAGACCTACTCCTGGGACAACGCTCAGGTCATCCTTGTGGGGAACAAGTGCGACCTGGAAGATGAGCGTGTTGTGCCTACCGAGGACGGCCGGAGGCTTGCTGATGACCTCGGTGAGTGCCCAGCCCGGGGCCCCCGGCCCTGGACCTCTCAGACCAAACCCCAGTCCCCACCCTTGGGCTCCAGGTGCAACCACAGTCAGCAACCCTTTGGCTTTGAGGATCCGCTCGGAAAAATACCCACATGTATGCCACCTTCCGCATTTAATTTCAGAGAATTCGGTTACAGAGATTCCCTCCCTCCCTGCCCCAAAACGTTCCCGGAAATTTATCCTGCAAACGGGCCGCCCACATGGGAAGTGGCAAGTTTATCAGATTTTGAGGGCAAGCTTGGTAACCTCTTAAATGTCTCACAGTGGGGGAAGCAGCCAAACATAAAGCATAGTCATGTGGTGGAATACTACACAGGGGTGAAAAGGGGCAAGCATGCTCTGCTATGGCAAGATCTCTGGGCTCTATGCGGAAGTGGGAAAAGCAAACTGCAGGAAAGTGGGCTTGGCTGCTTCCTTTAGTCCGCGGCTCAGCAAATGTTGTTGCTGTTTTTAATTTTTTAGTGTTTTATTTACTTTTGAGACAGAGAGAGAGACAGCGTGTGAGCAGGGGAGGGACAGAGAGAGACACACACACAGAATCCTAAGCAGGCTCTAGGCTCTGAGCTGTCAGCACAGAGCCCGACGCGGGGCTTGAACTCATGAACCGTGAGATCGTGACCTGAGCCGAAGTCGGATGCTTAACTGCTTAACCAACTGAGCCACCCAAGTACCCCAGCAAATTTTTTTTTTTAATTTTTATTTATTTCTGAGAGAGAGAGAGAGAGACAGCCTGAGCAAAGGAGGGTAAGAGAGAGGGAGACACAGAATCCGAGAAACAGGCTCCAGGCTCTGAGCTAGCTGTCAGCACAGAGCCCGATGCGGGGCTCGAACCCACGAACTGTGAGGTCATGACCTGAGCTGAAGTCGGACGCCCAACCGACTGAGCCACCCAGGCGCCCCCTTAAAAGGCCAGATAGGAAATATTTTCAGCCCTGGGGTCCCTGTCCCCACTCAGCTCTGCTTGAAAGCTGCCAGAGAAAATGAGTGAATGAGTGTGACTGACTGTCATCAAAACATTATTTATAAAAATATGCAATGGACCAGATCTTGGCTGTGACTTGAAGTTTTCTGACCCCTGCATTCGTGTATAAAAGGGTAAAAATAAGGATATATATTTATGTTGACCTGAAGAAACTCTGGGAGGATCCAGAAGGATCTAGTAACGGTGATGACCTGTGTGTGTCTGAGAACTGGGGACCAGGGCGCTAGGATGGAAGGAGGATTTTTTTCAGCCTACCTTTTTGAATCAGGCAAATGGAAATTTAAGCTCAAAGGAAATCTGGCCTGGAGTATTCTAGGATTCTAACCCCTCCCCAGGACTCCCCTTGCAGTAGACAGTGTAACCACTATAGGGGAAGGTGGGTTAAGGACCCACACTCAGGAGCTAGGCTCCCATTCCTCAACCCACTAGCTGTGTGACCTTGGACACATCGCCTCCCCTCTCTGTGCTTCCATTTCTCTACCTGGGAAACAGTGAAAATGGTTAGCGCTGTTAGAAAGATGACATAAGCCAACATTTGTCCGGTTTGAACATTAACTCGTATTATTTCTCGATCACTTGGTGATCCTGTGTTGGTAACTTAAGCCCTCTGGGCCTGCACTGCCTCTGTGTGAAGTGGATTTAATAACAGCCTCACCTCATCCAGTTGTCATGGGGGTTAAATGAGTTATGATGGACGAAGCAGTTATCACAGCCTGGCATGCATGTAGATTGTATCTGGGTGTTAGCTAGTGTGATTGTGAACTGTTGTTGATGCTTTGTACATAAAACTCTAGGCTTCACATAACAGCCCACAAATCCTAAAATATTTACTATCTGGCCCTTTACAGAGAAAAGTCAGGGACCCTGGACTATAACAGTTCTCTCTCTCTGTATTAAATCATGGCTCTACCATATAGATATTTTTAAATGTTTATTTATTTTTGAGAGACAGAGAGACAGAGCATGAGCGGGGGAGGCGCAGAGAAAGAGGGAGACACAGAATCCGAAGCAGGTTCCAGGCTCTGAGCTGTCAGCACAGAGCCTGACGCGGGGCTCGAACCCACGAACTGTGAGGTCATGACCTGAGCCAAAGTCGGCTGCCTAACCGACTGAGCCACCCAGGTGCCCCCCTCTCTCTTTCTCTCTTTTTTCCTTGTTACCATCTATTTGTTGGACAAACTGGGTTTTTGTTCCATGGAATATTTCCAATTTGAGATTTGCCTCTTTGCTCCCTCGTGGTGTCATTTAACTTGTTCCTTTGTTCGCTGTGTCTCCAGCTTGGCTCTCATTTGCAGGTGTGCTGGGGGGTCAGCTTTTGCAGCCTGGGGCTAGATCCCCAGTTTTCCTGGAACCGGGGAAATGAGCTATGACCCAGCCATGGGCTAGAACCCTCCTGAATGTTGCCCACACCTCCCAGGGAACATCTAGTGAGGGGGCCGTAGGGGGTTCCTAATCTGTCATTAAGTTTAAAATACCGACGAACAGAGCAGTAGGCAGAATTTGAGCCCAGTTTTGCAGGGGAAAGAATACACACATGGGGTGCCTGGATGGCTCAGTCGGTTAAGCCTCTGACTCTTGATTTCGATTCAGGTCTTGATCTCACGGTTCTTGAGTTTGAGCCCTGCATTAGGCTCCATGCTGAGCGCAGAGACCCTGCTTGGGATTCGACCTCTCTCCCTCTCTTCTCTCTGCCCCTCCCCTGCTTGCACTCTCTCTCTCAAAAATTAAAAACAAGAAAACTACACGCACAAGCATGCACACACACACACACACACACACACACAGACCCAACCCCAATAGTTGTGTATTTGTGTTAAAAAATATATATACAGCAGAAAGCTAAATACCAAAACACCAATAGTAATTGTTTCTCGATGATAAAATCACAAATAGCTTCTCTGTCCTGATGTTTTTCAGGAGTTTCTGACTTCTTCAGTGGATTTCTCCACTGAATGTTTACAATCAGGGGGAAAAAAAGTATTAAGAATAAAACCTGAGATTGTTTGAGCCGCACACAGATAAGGAAATGCCAGTTTTGCTTAAGAGGACAATGGGGTGAGATTGACAATCACTAGGCTCAGAATAAGAGATCTGAGGGGCGCTTGGGTGGCTTAGTCGGTTAAGCGTCCGACTTTCGCTTAGGTCATGATCTCACGGTTCATGGGTTCGGGCCCCGCGTCGGGCTGTGTGCTGACTGCCAGCTCAGAGCCTGGAGCCTATTTCAGTCTGTGACTCCCTCTCTCTCTGACCCTTCCCTCCTCACGCTGTCTCTCTCTCTCTCTCCTAGAAATAAAAAAAAAGGAATAAGAGATCTGAGTTCATGCCCTGCCTCTGCCATTCATTCATTCATTCATTCATTCATTCATTCATTCATTCAGCAACTAGGTTCTGAGCACCTGCTCTGGGCCAGACGCTGGAAGAGGCAGACAGTAATTCTACCTTGGAGCTGGCATTCTAGTAGCGGAGACAGACAGTAAATGGATAATTACACACATGATTATTTAATTACAATTACATTTTTATAGCACGGCATGACGGGGTTGGGAGAGAGGCCCGTTTGCCCTGTGCTGTGGGTCCAATGGGGGCGTTTGAATTTCTGGCCCAACTTGGCAGGTACGGTGGGTGTGGACATGTCGGAGACCTGTAGGCAGAGCCTGAACCAGCCTTTTAGGGTGCAAGAAGCCTTGTCAGGTACACTACACCCTTAATTTTAGGTAGCTAAGGGACGACAGGGAAGTCCCCAAAGTATATTTACTACCTTCCACATGTGGGAGAACAAGCTTTTTTTAAAAATTTTTTCAAGTTTAGGGGCGCCTGGGTGGCTTAGTCGGTTAAGCTTCCTACTTTTGCTTAGGTCATGATCTCGCGGTTCGTGGGTTCAAGCCCCGCGTCGGGCTCTGTGCTGACTGCNTCCGACTGTCGCTTAGGTCATGATCTCGCGGTTCGTGGGTTCGAGCCCCGCGTCGGGCTCTGTGCTGACTCCCAGCTCAGAGCCTGGAGCCTGTTTCAGTCTGTGACTCCCTCTCTCTCTGACCCTCCCCTGCTCACGCTGTCTCTCTCTATCTCTCCTAGAAATAAATAAAACATTAAAAAAAATTTAAAAAAAAAAATTTTTTTTTTCAAGTTTTATTTATTTTGAGAGAAAGAGAGAACAGGGGAGGGACAGAGAGAGAATCCCAAGCAGGCTCTGCACTGTCAGCACAGAGCCCGATGCGGGGCTCAAACCCACGAACCGTGAGATCATGACCTGAGCCAAAACCAAAAGTCAGAGGCTTAACCGACTGAGCCGCCCAGGTGCCCCAGGACAAAGCTTTTTTAAAATGAGAGACAAGGTATGCTGGTCTCTTTGATGCTGAGAATGTATTCCAGGGCACCTGGTTGGCTCAGTTGGTGGAGCATATGACTTTTGATCTTACAGTTGTAAGTTTGAGCCCCACGTTGGGTGTACGGATAACTTTAAAAATAAAATCTCAAAAAAAAAAAAATCCTGGGGCGCCTGGGTGGCTCAGTCAGTTTAGCGTCCAACTTTGGCTCAAGTCATGATCACAGAATTTGTGGGTTCGAGCCCTGCGTCGGGCTCTGTGCTGACAGCTCAGAGCCTGAAGCCTGCTTCCGATTCTGTGTCTCCCTCTCTTTCTGCCCCTCCCCCACTCACGCTCTGTCTGTTTCTCCAAAATGAATAAACGTTAAATAAAAAATATATATACTCAAAGGAACTTCGTGTCCCCTTCCCCAGAAGGAGTCAGCCAGCGTGCCCTCCCTCCTGAGGCCCAAGGTGGGACCATAGGAATATTTATTATTATTCATTAATTTAGACCTAAAATATGTATTTCATATTTATTAACTATTGTCATGTAAGCCAGGCAGCCTGGGTGTGAATCCCAGCTCTCACACGTGATACCTTGGGACTGATAGCTTTTCCTCTCTGTGCCTTGGTTTCCTCATCTGTAAAATGGACTCTAACAGCATGACCGTCAGGGCATCATGAAATGGGTTAATTTGCATAAAATGCAGAGAAAAGGGCCTCCCACAGTAGGCATGAAGTCCACACTGCTTATTATGATCATTTATTATTCTCCTTATTACCATTTTTAGCACGGTCTGTGGGCCCAGAGCGGTCAGCATCGCCTCTGCCCCACAGACCCCGGGAAACCTGCCGATCGTTACGTGCGGGCCAGGCCCCAGAACATTGCTTGCTGGACTCTTGCAGCCCCTGCTTTGTGACAGAGAGATTCTTAGACTAATCCACCCGGGGTGGAGGTGGGGGGCTGCCCCCACAGGTTTTCATCGGCAGCCGCCTCGCTCCCATCTTACAGACGAGCAAACCGAGGCTTCAAGGGATCAAGGCACTGAGCCGAGGTCCCGCGAGTGCATGAAGGGCAGGCCTGGGCTTGGAAGCCACGTCTGGGTGAAGCCACAGCCCCGCCTTACTGGTGTTCCCACCCTGTGTCCATCCAGGTTTCGAGTTCTTTGAGGCCAGCGCCAAGGAGAACATCAACGTGAAGCAGGTCTTTGAGCGCCTGGTGGACATCATCTGTGAGAAGATGAATGAGTCCCTAGAACCCAGCTCCAGTCCGGGCAGCAATGGGAAAGGCCCGGCCTTGGGGGACACCCCAGCCCCTGAGCCCAGCGGCTGCAGCTGCTAGAGATGGTCCCCAGCCCCTGTCCACCCCTTCCTGCCTCGGCAGGGACTGTGACTGAGGCATGAGCCACAAGGGCTGTTTCCTAGCTCAGGGCACCCCCTTCCCTCCCGCCAGCCGTTGACCCCGACCCCTCCGCATGGCTGGTTCTCTCGCCATGGCCGCCATCTTGCCGGAAGCAGCCTTATATCACAGGCCCCAGACCCTGGGGACTCTGCCCTGCAGGCGGGGCCTGGAGATGGTGACGTGCACGAGCTTGCTGCTTTTCGAGCATTTTCACGGAGGGAGCGAGGGCAGCGGGTCCCACCCCGGTCTAGTGGAGGGGTGGCCACAGTGCCTTCTGGGTTAGAACTGTTGTTCTCGGCCATTCCATGTCAGGCGCCGCCTGGAGTTCACAAGCTGGTTTGTCTTCTTCCTCCTGCGGTGTGAGTCCTCAGAGTTCTCCTTCGGAGATGTGGAAGGCGACTCCTTTCTCAGGGTCCCTCCGGGGTGGCCCCAAGCCTGCCCCCAACCCTCCCCGACCCCCAGGCCTCAAGCTTCCAAGGCAGGGAGGTGACTCTGGCCCTCGCAGACCCTTCCCTCCTGGCCTGCCGCTCGTCTGCCTGTGAACGCAGTATTAAAGCAGCTTTTCCCATTCTGCAGGGACAGGGAGTCAGAACCCCCCACCCACCCCCCGTCCCCTGCCCCCACCCAGCTTCAGGGACCCCAGAAGTGCCTTCTGAGCCTCCCCAGTATTCCGCATCACCCACACCCCTGCCACTGTTCTGGCCTCTTCACTACGTCTCTCATCCCCGGATCCACTTCTAGAACGATGCGCCGCATCAGGCTGGGCGGAGAATGACCCAACCCCGGGCGTTCCTGCTGGGGGCGCTTTGCCAGGAGTTCACCTCAGAGCCGGGAGCCCCCGCCCTCCTGCCCACACCTGCCTCTCCCAGACCCCGTTTGGCTGGCGATGTTTTAAGCAAGGGCTTTCCACATCTTACATCCTGCCAGAAAAGGAAATTGAGCAAGGTTCCCACAGCCTGCCCTCGCCGGCCGCTGGCCGATGGAAGGACTTGGGCTCCTCCCCGTCGAGGACCCTTGAGGACCCAGAGTCCATTTCCTGAGTGATATCAGTGGCGGGGCCCAGCAATGCGATGCTTCCTATTAATGGAAGAGGCCCTCTAAGGGAGGCCTTAGGGCTGGGGCGGAAGAGGCGAGGAGGCAGGGTTGTGTAATAGTTGTTGCCACATGCGATTCACAGATAAAGCTTGGGGGTGAGCTGGGAACCAGTCCCCCTGGTTGACTGGGGTCCCCAGCCAGCGGGGTGGTGCAGTCTGAGGATCCACCTCTTACCTCCACTCCCCACCCCAACTCAGTGTCAAACTCCCATGGCATGGTACCTGTTTGTGCCCCGTCACACCCACTAACCCCCCACAACTTGACAGTCACTGTGACGATGGCCTGAACAGACGGTCCGCTCTCCACTCCCAGCCCCAGACACCAAAACGACTTCCCGTAGCCTTAAAGATCTCAGCCTCCTCCTGCTGGACGTGAGGAAGATCTGCTTCAAGTTGAACTCAGCTCTTCCCTTTACAGAAGCTCTGGATTGACTCTCTTTCTAGAGGGCTCTGTTCATCCCACACCAAGGGCGGCCCCTCAGAGCTTCAAAGCGAGGGTATCTTTGCAAGCCAACCCATCAGACAACAGTGGTGAAACGGAAAACCTTTTGGAAACGTGCACAGTGTGTTTGGGGAATGTTTGGGGCAGAGGCAAACATGTCCAATGCTTTAGCGTAAAAGAGAAATGAAGGCAGCTAGGAAAAAGCCTGGGAAGAGGCCCCAGGGGCTGTGAAGGTTCTGTGGGCTAGCCCACTTGCTTAAGCTGCTGCCAGAAAACAAAACAAAACAAAAAAACCAAGACAATGGTAGATCAGAGCGCTATTCTCAAAGGGACGAACCAACTTGTGTCTTGGACCTGATGTGGGCTAAGCCTTGTGTTTACCAAGAGTTTTGAACACTCTAGCTTTGAGCAGCACAGAGACTGGGTTTTCTCAAAACTAGGTTTATGTAGGAGAGGGATTTTTTTTTTTTTTTTGGCTTGTTCCTTCTAAAAATAAGGCAAGTTGTTATTTTATAATTTTGGGTGGAGGCTTAACTCACGATGGTCTCTGGGGACCAAAACCAATGTCCTCGAAGTTCACGGGCGTGGGTGGGGGTGGGGGGTGGGATGGAGAATCGTTGAGTTTACAAGCAAAAATGAAGCCACAGGCTGTGGGAAAACCACTTCTCCCGGGAGAGTGAGGTCCGGAGAGGTGGCCCGAGGCTGGGTCCTGAATTCTTACCGTTGGCTTTTAGCGGCTCGTCTTTCCATTGCTGTGACCAGGGTTTGGGGCTTGGAGGTCCGCTGTTTTTCTCTTCTTTATTTCTTTGGCTTCCCCAGGGATCCAGCTCCTTATATCTTTTTCTCCGACCCCCACTCCAAAAGGCAAGTAAGGGGTGAAACTTGGTCTCTGCAAAGTGGCTTCTCCCCTCCATCCTGAAACACTACGGCGTGAGCTCTCGACTTGGTCATTCGTATTACTGGATGTGGTTCTCCTGTTTAGTAAGCGATTCTTTGAGGTCCGCTCGGAAAGATGAGCACTTTTAGCCACAAGAGAAAATAAAGCCGTTATGCCCAGATGCACTTGCTCTGTGTATTTCCATTAGTGAAACGTGATTTCCAGGAAGAGAGCGGTTGAATCATGGCCAAGTAGAAGCTCGGTCAAGGGCCACGCATGCTGCACAGAAACGGAATGAGGCTAGAGAGGCCCGGGTCTGGGGCTGCCTCTAGCCAGGGTTCATGCCCACCACCTTCGCCCTGGAAAGTTTGCTACATGGTGGTGGTGGGGGGGACAATGTGGCCCCAACTAGTCCTAATAAGATGATCTGTTCTCCCACTGCAGCTGGAGGGAGCCTGTGAATACCCATTGCTCCTCTCCTCAGAACCCTCCATGGCTCCCACTCAGCATAAATGTCTGTCTTCCTTGCAGCCCACAAGGTCCTACGTGATCTGACCTGTCACTTGCCTCCCCTCAGCTCTTCCCACCTGCCCCCCACATTTGCTCTGCTGCAGTCACAGCGGCCTTGCTGCTGTTTGAACACACCAGGCCCCTGCCTCAGGGCCTTTGCACTGGCTATTCCCCCTGCCTGAAGTCAAATGGCTCCTCTCCCTCAACCCCTCTTTCAGGTCTTTGTGCAAATCTCACCTCCTCATTGACTCCCATCCCCTCTTCCCCCCTTCCCTGCATTTAGTACTGTAACCTCCCTGCACCATTTCTTTAAAAGAAATTTTTTTTCGCAATGTTGATTTATTTTGAGAGACAGAGACAGAGTGCTAGCAGGGGAGGGGCAGAGAGATCGGGGTCTCTGCAGCATTTCTATTATTTTTTTTACATGTTTTATTTATTTTTGAGAGAGAGAGAGTGAGCATGATCAGGGGAGGGTCAGAGAGGGAGGGAGATACAGAATCTGAAATAGGCTCCAGGCTCTGAGCTAGCTGTCAGCACAGAGCCCGACGCGGGGCTCGAACCCACGAACTGTGAGATCATGACCTGAGCTGAAGTCGGTCGCTTAATTGACTGAGCCACCCAGGCACCCCTCTCTGCAGCATTTTTAATGTTCCTTTCCCTGTGTCCCTCTTCTCAGCCCCAAGAATGGAAACTACTATATCACATACTTGTTTAACTTAAACAAGCATCTCTTTCCATATGAAGTCAGTTCCTCAAGTGCAGGCATTATTATTTCTTTTTTTTTTTTTTTTTTTACTTTTCGCCACCACACCCAGCTCAGTTCCTGTTTGACACAATAAAAAAGAAATATTAGATCTCTGTCTTGGGGTTCTTGGCACACAGCTCCTAAAGCCCTTGGGATCTCTGGAGTGACTAGAGTCTTTTGTGTGCTTTGGGGTAGAGGGCAGAGGGCGGGGAACTGAGCCAGCCCCCTGACCTCCCGGGAGGGGAGACAGGCTGGAGCTGTTGAGTGAGTTAATAATCACCAATGGCCAATTAAGGAGGTGGGAAGGCGGCGCGCCCGGAGAGGACACGGTCCCCCCCCCCCCGCCCCCCACACCAGTTCCCTTCTCCATACCTTGTCCTGTGCACCTTTTCCATTTGGCTGTTCCTGATTTAGAGCCTTTCATAATTTGAGACCGGTGGATGGCTCAGTTGGTTAAGCTTCTGACTCTTGATCTCAGCTGGGGTCTTGATCTCTCAGGGTTGTGAGTTCAAACCCCATGTTAGGCCCCATGCTGGGCTTGAAGCCTACTTTTTTTTTTTTTTAAATATTTTAAAAAATATTTTTATTTATTTCTAGGAGAGAGAGAGACAGCGTGAGCAGGGGAGGGTCAGAGAGAGAGGGAGATACAGACTCTGAAATAGGCTCCAGGCTCCGAGCTGGCAGTCAGCACAGAGCCCGACGCGGGGCTTGAACCCACAAACCGCGAGATCATGACCTAAGTGAAAGTCGGACGCTTAACCGACTAAGCGACCCAGGCACCCCTGAAGCCTACTTTTAAGGGGCGCTTGGGTGGCCCAGTCAGTTAAAGCATGCCACTCTGGCTCAGGTCATGATCTCATAGTTTGTGAGCTCGAGCCCCGCGTCAGGCTCTGTGCTGGCAGCTCAGAGCCTGGAGCCTGCTTCAAACTCTGTGTCTCCCTCTCTCTCTGCCCCTCTGTTGCTCATACTCTCTCTCTCAAAAACAAATAAAACATTAAAACAAATTTTTTAAAAACTGCATAATTAGCTAACAATAGTAGCTAATGTGCTTACTGAGTTCTGTGAATCATTCTAATTATCAAGCCTGAAAGGGAGGGGGGATTGTCGGAACGCTCTGATTTGGGTTGGGGGCCAAGTGAGACAGTATAGGTCACCTAGGGACCCCATACTTGCATCTGAAGTGGGGGGCAGTCTAGTGGGACTACTTCAAACTCTGGGTAGTTAGTGTCGGAATTGAACTCTAGGACACCCCGTTGGTGCCTGGAGAGAATTGTTTGCTGTGAAACCCCTACACACACACACACACACACACACACACACACACAGTGCCAGGGGTGTCGTGAGTGAAAATAGTTCATTTCTGACTTTTAGCAAGTGTTCCCCAGACGTTTGTTGAGTGAATGTATGAACAGCAGAGCTCAAGAGTGACCCGGGTCCCGGGACTTACATACCGTCCCAGGATTCTCACTGCTTTCCGTGCCTTTGCTCTGCCATCTTGACCTCGTGAGGTGAGGTCAGCTTCACAGGAGCGGTCCCCTTACCCAAAGTCCCCAAGCCCAGTATCCTTGACCAGCCTGGGTCCCAGGCCCAAGCCCTAACCCTTCCCCTAACCAAAGCCTGGGACAGAGAGACGGAGCATTCTGATTGGCTGATGGAGACCACTTGCCCGCCAGGCTTAGGGATGGAAATCTGAGAGGCTGGCTCCAAGGGAAGGTGGGAGTGCTCCTTCCTGAAGTGAGAAGTGATCGCAGCAAACATCACACGTGCTCAGAATCCTCCCAAAAGAAAAGATTAAACTGCCATTTTGCAATCCTTGGTGAAAGAACCAGTGCAGGTGACTGCGGTCATTGGATGAAGCCCCTTGGTGTCTTGATTCTCAGCAGTGCCCACGGCCACCCCTTAGAATCATCTGGTAAATGTAAGAGTCCCCAGGCCCAGGCCACAGCCCAATCCCATTAAATCAGAAGGGGGAGGAGGGCTTGGGTAGTTTGTGAAAGCTTCCAGGGAGTTCTAAGGTACAGGTAGAGCTGAGAAAAGTGACTTACGGGAAATAGGGGGGAGGGAGAAAAAGATAAAGGGAATGCGACGGAGCTGAGTAAATCCAGAAGGCATGGCGTTCCCTACCCTCTAGCTCTTTCGGCCACAAGTCAAAGGTGGGGGGTGAGGTTCGGAGACGAGGAGGAAGGACCCAGAGTGGTGGGTTTTCTGAGCACATTCTGAAGCATCTGCTGGGAGCTTGTTTGGAATTCAGATCCCTGGGCCCCCTCCAGATCTGGAGTCAGAAGCCCTGGGGGTGGGGCCCGCAGCCTCCCTGCTTTAACAGAATATTCAGAGGATTTTAACGCACACTCTAATTTGAGAACTACTGGATTAGAATAAAAGGGATTTAGGAGACATGACAAGGGGCTTTGAGGTGTGGACCTTATTTGGATCCAATTCAAAGAAACTAAAAGTGTAAGTGCCGAGATGTAACTTACAGCGTGCCGACTCGAATTAATAATACCCTGTTTCGTATCTGAAAGTTACTAAGACAGTAGATGTCAAAGGTTCTTGGGGAGCTTGGGGGGCTCAGTCAGATAAGCACTCGGCTCTTGATTTTGTCTCAGGTCATGATCTCACAGTTTGTGAGGTCAAGCCTCACATCAGGCTCTGTGCTGACAGTGTGGAGCCTGCTTAGGATTCTCTCTTCTCTCTCTCTCGGCCCCTTCCCCCCCAAAGTAAATAAATAAACATAAAAAAAAGTTCTCATGGGGCATCTAGATGGCTCAGTGGGTTAAGCGTCTGACCGGCTCAGGTCATGATATCGCGGTTTGTGGGTTCAATCCGCCATCCGGCTCTATGCTAACAGCTAGCTCAGAGCCTGGAGCCTGTTTCAGATTCTATATCTCCCTCTCTCTCTGACCTTCCCCTGTTCATGCTCTCTCTCTCTCTCTCTCTCAGAAATAAATAAAAAACATTAAAAAAAAAAAAAGAAACCAAAAGTTGGATGCTTACCTTAAAATTTTTGTTTTGTTTTGTTTTTTACTTTATATTTGAAAGACAGAGAGAGAAAGAAAGACAGAGCACAAGCAGGGGAGGGGCCGAGAGATGGAGACAGAACCCGAAGCAGGCTCCAGGCTCCGAGCTGTCAGTGCCGAGTCAGACATGGGGCTCGAACTCACAAACCACAGGATCATGACCTGAGCCACAGCCAGATGCTCAACCCACTGAGCCACTCACACTGCAGCCCCTGAGGTCGAGTGACCAGCAGTCATTTCTAAAGAAGAACCAGAGGGACGCCTGGGTGGCTCAGTTCTCACGGTTCATGAGTTTGAGCCCCGTGTCGGGCTCTGTGCTGACAGCTCAGAGCCTGGAGCTTGTTTCGGATTCTGTGACTCCCTCTCTCTCTGACCCTCCGCTGCTCATGCTGTCTCTCTCTCTCTCAGAAAAAAATAAAACATTAAAAAAATTAAAAAAAAAAAAAAAGAACAACCAGAAAGCAGGTACAGCCCTTTGCCCCACAGCACTTTAGCTGTGGAGACGAGAGTAGTCACCTGAAGGCTCCCTTTCAACTCTCGAAATAATGAACATGATAGGAATCATGGTTACCATGGCTACTGTCTAGAATAGTTCTGATATTCCAGGGCTTGTGCTAAATGCCTCCCTTACTCTAGCCCATCACGGCTCAAAACCCTCCAAGTTGCTCATCTTTTTTTTGTTTTTGTTTTTGTTTTTTGCGGGGGGAGGGGCACAAGTGAGCGAGGAGCAGAGAGAGAGAGAGAGAGGGAGGGAGAGAGAGAGAAATGGGGCACGAGCTCATCCGATGTGGGACTCAAACTCACGAACCATGGGATCATGGCCTGAGCCGAAGTCAGATGCTGAAGGACACCCAGGTGCCCCTGGCTCTCATCTTACTCGCGGTAAAAGCTGGACTCCTCACCATGGCC